ACATGTGTATGAGGTTTAGATCTCAGAACCCATAGCAGCAAGACATCACTCAGTGCTAATAGCCAGCAGGCATCTATCTTTACTCTATTCCCGTCCGCTGGATACAGCTTACTACTGGAAAACTAACTTCGATAGTCTTACTCGTCGCGAGCCAAGTAGATTGATCTCTGCCCCAAACTGTATCTGTAAAAGACTCTCATTGAAGAGTGACAGTACTGGGTTCTCATTTAGCAACAGTGAAGTGTCGAAACGTTGAACCAGTCAAGCCGCATTGGTTCTACAAGAAGTATCGTAAAATGGCTCGGCGACCGGGGCAAATTGTGGGACAAATTCCTCCTCTCCAACTCTTTCAATGATTGAGAGGCCTATGTTAGACAGTGAAATAATTGCAATAGTGAAAAAACAAGCAAGCGCCGGCATTTCGAACAACTGCCGAAAAGACCGCTCCGGAAAACTATTTGCTTGCGTGAAGCGGCGCCTCAAGCCAGCACGTGATTTGGCAGTGCTAGAGGGCTCGGACGGACAGCTCCCAACCTCTAGCTCTGAGCGTGCGTCTGCCTTGGCGACGCACTTCGCTTCCTTGTTTGCAAATGACCAGGTGTCTGTACCGAGTTCGACGTGTACCGCGCTTACCGAGTTCGACAGTCTGGTTTGTGGTGTTAAAGAGGTGTATCAAATACTCACCAACCTTGACGGCACCAAACTTGTTGGCCCTGACCGACTCCACCCCTGATTCTTAAGTCCCTATCATTTCACCCACCGTGACTGACTTGCTCAACAGCTCACAGTCCGAAGGTTCATTGCCGAGCGAATGGAAATGCTCAGTGATTAAGCCGATTCCGAAAGGCGGTGACCACAGTAAAGCGGACACTTACCGACCAATTTGTCTGACACCCATTTGGGCTAAGGTTGCCGAGAAGATGTTGAAGAAGGGTCTACTTCATTCATAAAATCTGCTAACGCCCGTACAGGACGGTTTTATGCTAGGCCGTTTATGCATTAGCAACCTGCTGATGACGAGCCATAAATGGTTGTAAGCAGTAAATCAGGGGAAGTCTGTCGAGGTAATTTACACCGATTTCAGTACAGCGTTCGATAAGGTAAACCATGAGGTACTCCTCCACAAGCTGAGAAAGTGAGGTGTTGGTGGATCGTTGCACCAGTGGTTCCGGGACTTTCTCGTTGGACGAAAGTGGAGAGTACAGGTCCAACTGTTATCCTTCTACTGGTGGAGTACCCCAAGGCACGCTGCTGAGGCCCACTCTGTTCCTAATGCACATCAACGATCTAGCTCCGCTTCTTCGGTCGCCGTGTGCTTTGTTTGTGGATGACCTGAAGATTTGGAGAGAAATTAGCACCCCAGACGACTGTAGCCTCGTTCAGTACGACCTCAACCGCTACTCCATGTGGTCTGCGGAAGTCCGCCTACCGGTCAACCCATTAAAGTTGGTATTCATGAGCCTGAGGAAAGGTGATGATGGCCGAATTTACACCATCGACGGCCAACCGCTACATCGCACAACTTCCGTGAAGGACCTAGGCGCTGCAATTTGAAGTCTGTTGGCAACACAAATAGACTACATCGTAACGGTGTTAGGTCAGACCAAAGTCAAATGCGAAACCAAACAAATTGACTTGTTCGGGTAGGTAAGTGCGCAATTTCCCACAAGTAATCGTGTGCCTTGTATCAGAACAGTCTCAGTTACAAGCAGACAAGAGTTTTTCTGTGTTGCAGAACATTTGTACTATCGCTTGTTTCATACTACTCACAGTCCCGTGATTCGTTGAGATCGATCAATTCAACTTAGTACTCAGCCGTGATTTGAACTGTAATCAGTGTGTTTTCATACCCAGGTCGGTCCGTGCAGTGTTTCGCAAATATACTTCTCGTTCTCGTCTTTTGACACGCGTGGCGCAGTCTAAGAAATTGATAAGTCGAACCCCTGGAAACAGAACAGATTCTGGTGACAGAGGTGTTGCACAATAACGTCATTTGAGCAGATGCAGCAGCTTATCCATCAGCAGCAGCTCCAGTTCGAGAAATCCCAGAGGGAATTCTTCGAGTTATTTGCGCAGAAGTTGAATGTTCCATTTGAGCCCTAACCTGCCGACACACGACGCGGTCACGACAGTCATCAGAGTTCGTTTTCGATGAATCAAACGGAGTAACTTTTGATTCTTGGTTCAAGAAATATGACGATATTTTCCGCGTTGAGTTGGCGGCGCAAGATGATGCATGGAAAGCTCGGTTGTTGCTGCATAAACTTGGTGCAGTTGAGCATGAACGCTATACCAATTTTGTGTTGCCAAAGAATCCAAGAGATTTCCGCTTTGCTGAGACGTCCATTTTCGATGAGCAAGCATCTTTGTTCAGTAAACGTAATAATTGTTTAAAGTTGCTCAAAAGTGATAGCCATGATTTTATAACACATGCTGGAGTTGTGAACCGAGAGTGTGAACGTTTTAAACTCGGTACGATGACACCTGATCAGTTCAAAAGTCTCATATTTGTTTGTAGTCTTCAGTCTCATGCCGATGCTGATGTGCGCACACGCATCCTACACAAGTTAGAGCAGGAACCGCATTTGACATTACAGGACATTGCTGCTGAATGCCAGAGACTGATTAACTTAAAGCATGATACAAAAATGATTGAAAATACTGACCCCAAGAGTGAAACACAGATTTACCGCACGGCTGTTCGAAGTAAAAATGTGAGTCATAGAGTACCTAACCAGAAACCCCCGACCGCATGCTGGAACTGTAGTGGATGGCATTTTGTACGATTCTGTACTTACAAGAAACATCTCTGTCAGAAATGCAAACGTCTGGGTCACAAAGAATCACACTGTCGCAAAACGTACGTTTCCAGGCCTGTGTCTACCCCACACGTGTATACGAACTCTAAATCCCAAAAGACGTCGTTCCAAGGAGCAAAGACAAAAGTACTTCTCGCGACCTGTCGCACAGAATTTGCGGGCAAACGAAAGTACATCACCGTCAAAATTAACGATGTTCCCATATCCTTGCAAATAGATACGGCATCGGACATTACCATCATTTCTCGATCATCATGGAGGAGACTTGGCAAACCTCCACTGAGACACACCAATCTGACTGCCCAAAACGCATCCGGCGAACCACTGAGGTTAGATGATGAGTTTACATGTGACATCAAATTCAAAGATCTGAGCCTCCGTGGAACCATCTATTTAGCTTCTTGTGTCAACATTAATCTTCTTGGCATTGATTGGATTGATAGATTGAATTTGCTCAATGTACCACTGATTAATGTGTGTTCTGAAACGAACGTCATGGTGCATCATACAGCCATACCACCCATTCCAAGTAAAACCATTGCTGAACAGTTTCAGGCGAACAAGATACAGGCAAAGCTTACTCTGTTTCCGTGTGCTACACCAGTGTTTCGACCCAGGTGCCCGGTCCCGTATGCATCACATCGTACGAATTCGGGTATGGAAGCCCAGTACGACAGACGGTACCGAGCACGGCGCAGAAATTTCAGAGTTGGAAACGCAGTGTTTGCTGCCGCTCATCAAGGGCATCGAATAAGCTGGATACCAGGGCAAGTCGTGGGACGACGTGGCAAAGTAATGTACGATGTTCGCGTTGGTAGGCAAGTATGGGTTCATCATGCCAACTAACTGCGACCGCGGTTTGCAAGGATCCCAGAGACACGCGACCCCAAAGCATTTGATTTCAATGAACTGTTATGCACTTTGCACCCAAGCACCTCGACCGGACCGGATACGCAACTCGTGGAATGGACTGGAAATGAACACCGACTAAGGCCACAACGGGTAAGAAGATGCGTGCAACCCTTTCAGGTCGATCCCCGAAGTAAAAGCTATACAACTACCGACAAGGGGGAGGTGTTAGGTCAGACCAAAGTCAAATGCGAAACGAAACAAATTGAGTTGTTCGGGAAGGTAAGTGCGCAATTCCCCACAAGTAACCGTGTGCCTTGTATCAGAACAGTCTCAGTTACAAGCAGACTAGTGTTTTTCTGTGTTGCAGAACATTTGTACTATCGCTTGTGTCATACCACTCATACGTCCCGTGATTCGTTGAGATCGATCAATTCAACTTAGTACTCAGCCGTGATTTGAACTGTAATCAGTGTGTTTTCATACCCATGTCGGCCCGTGCAGTGTTTCGCAAATATACTTCTCGTTCGGTGCGTTGTCTTTTGACACGCGTGGCGCAATCTAAGAGGTTGATAAGTCAAACCCCTGGGGACACAAAAAACGGAGTGCGCATGCTTTGGGTGATCAAACGCAGCTTCTGTACTTGGTCTGAAGAGGTCGCCACTCGCCTCTGCTCTTTCACCGTTAGACCAATACTGGAGTACGGCTCACCTGTGTACTTCCCAATCTCCCAAGACGAGGCACAGAAGATTCATTGGGTTCAATACGTCGCTACCAATCTTATTCCAGATTTATGGGAATTATCATACGAAGATCAGTGTGAGAAACTCGGACTCTACACCTTGTCCTATCGTAGGGTGCGAGTCGATCTCATCATGGCCTACCGTATGTTACATATCGGTGACTTCCTCAAGTAAAAGTCGCTGCTTCAGTTGCGAACGCTATGCAACACACGCGGACACCGGTATAAGCTTGTCGCGCTGGATATATAACCATTACTCAATGCCCTGTGTTTCGAACGGAAATTGGTAAATATTTGGTAGTCTGCCGGAACAACTCGTGCAGACTAAATTTGTACAACAGTTATTGGATTTACATTTCAGCCCCATTCGATTCAGAGAACGATTACACACTAACAATGATATCTTGCATTTGAGAAACCTGTGAAACTGTAAGTCAGATGTTCTAAAATACTACATAAGAACTTGTCGAACGATTCGATTATCACGGAATGCAGACACTTATTATAACATTTTTATCTACATTGCGTTGGAGTTGTATTTATATTTCTATTTGCTCCCACATGCAGTATGCACTGAAAAAGAGAGGAAACGTAATTTCATTTTTGTAGATTTAGCTTCTAATAGGCCTACGCTGCAACAAGGCAGTTGTACTTAGCAATCTCCCTGTCGACTCATATACCTGACAAAAGGACAGTAATTGAATCGATAATGCGTCCTGCTTGATATATCTAGCCTAGTGTGCGCTTTGTAATAGCTAACAAAAGGCGACACAAAACAACAAGAAAATAAATAAGAGCTAGGAGCGCGTGTGGATAAAACACAATCGAAGTGAAAATCCAAGAGATAATAAAGTCAACGACAGGTAGGAGGTGAGAAATGCGGACAGAAATCACTTGGATAGGGGGATCGCAGGAACGTGACGAGGTTCGCTTCATTCGGAATCATCCTGGGTTTTCTGCCCATGGGTCTGTTCCAGCAGTTCAAGGACATGTTCTACTGGTCGTACTCTCCCATCCTCTCCCACCGTCCCCGGCTTGATGAGACCACTCCTGCAAGAATAACGCAAGGAAATGGATACAACGTACAGAACCTGTGTGAGCATCGATTTGAGAGACGATGAAGTGAACGAGTCCAAAGTAGACAAAAACAGAACAACAACAACAACAGAAACTGCTGAACGCACCGGCTGGAAAAGGAACTTCAGAGAAGATAGTCACTAATGGAGCAACATGAGGAAAAATTTCATGATAAGATTTGAAGATGGACACGCAACCGCCCGCATAGTTCCGTCGCACATGAAATTACAATGCAGAGCAAGGCTACCGCTTCATTACAATAAAAGAACACGATCGCAGCTCTGATTAGTTCATTTTAGTTCACATCTATAATTCGGGTGTGATGAATCTAGTTGCATGAAAGGGATACACTGTGGAAATAAACGAGGTAGAACGCAAAGTAGAGCACAAGAAAGAGTAAGTGAAATAAATCGGGGCTTAATAGCAACGGATGGATGCAGCAAAGCGAATGTAAAACAGTCATTGACTGCGCCATGTCCGATCAGGTGTTTAACTGTCGGTGTGTCCTACGCCGACGCCCAATTGACGATACAGATTTATTACACATAGACCCAAAGGACATCACCATCAACTAAACCCCAGAGGAAATTCACCACCGTGCTTGCAGTCTGGTAAAAAGGCACCAGCAATACGCTGTTATGAAGTACCGACGCTCCGCTGCCGCGCAACCAACACTGGCCGCAGGTGGGCGAAGCATACTGCGAGGGTTGCCCAGTCTTTATGCAGGCTCAAACTTGCGCCCTCGAATTTCGAGGCAGGTTTGTGATCCTTAAGTCCAGTGGCCAGCGCAATCTGTTAAGAGGAGGAGACGCACCACTGGTGATGCCTGCCAGTCAGTACCTGTGAATTTTCGAGTCAAGTGTAGGTTAGATTATGTAGGCGCCATCCCGAAACGGAAAACCAACAAGGAATACCTAGTCTAGTGAGCAGGGATAATAATTGCAGATGCCAAAGCAACACCTACCTAAGAAAACGAAACTTGATCCTCCTCAACAAGCGAATTTAATCCACGTGTCCAAGTCAAAGTAACACATCGTCTTTTTTTGATCTGACAACTGTCTAGTGCCCACCGATGACCCTTCAGATGAAGAACGACACGGTAAGTGATCAGTAAGTAACAAATGTCAGAAGTCTCCATGCGCCTGAGATTTTCAGCTCCAAGTGAAGGAGTCTTATTCCATGTGACTGAAGTGGAAATCAGGAAGCCTACTTACAGCGCAGTAATCATTTGGAACACCAGAAGATGAACGTTGATGGGGGTAGACGACAAGGAGCGACGATATGCCATGCGCCTAAGATGCATCGGGTACACATGACTCTAGTGTAGTTGATGAGGGTAGTCACTAATAGTTGGTAGGTTTTTAACGTTCTCAACAGGGACTGAAACGTTGACAGATTATGTCAACAGCATATCATGGTCTTGCACTGCTGCCCAACCATCGACAGCCAAGTAACAAAAGGCAAGCAATTACGGGATGTAATCATGAAGTAATTCTGCCTTTTCATAAAAGCGATGGCGTCCGACAGTGATAGCAAGAATAAAAGCAGTGGCATGTACATCGCGTTGCTATATAGCACAGATAAGAGTAGTTATCACCTCTGCTGGTGAAAGGGGTGAAGTACCAAAACACTGAGAATACACCTATATGCCGATTAAGCAGGCTTAGGTACCACCGGATCATCTATTTGTTGAACAAACGTAGTGGCAAACATATTTTACAGCGTCTCGGGTCGGCTCGATCGTGGAATCCGACTGCCGAGTCGAATGCAATGCAAAGCCAATGTGCCACGTCTGGGATGGAGAAACGAAGTGTCATGCAAACTCAAATAATGCCAAAGAGTAAAGTACCAGGTACATCGAATACCAAACAGCGTTCATGGAAGTAATGGTAAGCAAAACAAACCTGGCTTACGGTTTTTTAAAGGAAGATTCTACAGCATTCCGAAAGCGTACGCGAGTGTTGGGGAAAGCCCGTTCAAAGAGAATGTCGAAGTGCTTAATTTACAGACCAAAGGGATACAAAAAAGGTGTAAGGAGGTAACACAACCGTCGTACCTCTGTAATTGGTCAATTTTATTCACCAACTCCATCGTGACGTATTCTTTCTGCTCCTCAGACATCCCTTCCAGCGGATGAGGGCGATCAGCCTCCCAACGACCAGTCACAGGATTGATGTTGTTTTTCAATCGTTCGTACTCTTCTGTATCAGAGGCGCTCGAATTAGAAGAGTACTCCTCAGCTGACGAACTGTCAAACTCCTCATTTGAGGTCGAATTCGTGGTGGTATCGCCAACGATCTCACGCTTTCGTGTTCTTTTTTTGCTGGCACCGGCCAGTAGTGCATGGCGAGCCAAAAAGCCAGCGAAGTTACCGAAACCGGTGTACTTGATAGCGCGACTAACTTGCAAAACAAAGAAAATAGGAGTTGTATTGATATTGAACACATGATACCGAAGCTAAACATCGATCCATTCGGATAGACAACAGCAGTTAGACACCAAGTGGGGTGGTTGAGTTGCTGCCCCATAAAAAGTAATAAGATACACCTTAGTAGTGTACACATCGATAATTCAGCAAGCGGGGCCCAGGACTGAAGGTCTACAGGGCAGATAATTCAAGTATATAAGTCAAGCCAACTACGCAGCACCACGGTCAACGCCTCATTAACAGAAAGTGGTTGATCACCCCAACGTGAGAGGTGAACACGAAAAAATCGATCGTGGAGGAGATCGACTTTTAGTTGCGGCTACCCACTGTGTGAGGATAAGAAAATGCTCGTAGCAAAACGGGCTCGCATATCTTACAATGGTTAACTATCAATTGCACCAGGAGGAAGTCACATTCCTTTGGAACCGTGTGGGCAAAAATGACTAAACCAATGTGGACAATCAATATGAGGATCGACTTAGAGATCGAAAATAACAGCAGCTTAGATAAGAAACATAGAAGACGCGGAGAGAAATGTTGGAAAGTGTCGAGGAAGCATGGTGCAGTAAATCAACGCTTCTCATGGAGTCGTTCAGAGCAGAAATGTGAAACCCAGGTAACGAACGAGAATGGCCAAACAAGAAGAAGATGACCGAGAGGGTAACAAACTGTGACCAACTGATAAAGAGATACGTTTCCCGACAAGTTGGATACGTTCCCACCAGGAGAATGAAGTGGATGCTTCGAAAATTGACAATCCACAATGCACTGTAGAGATCCTCATGTCTATCAAGCTGAGTTGTTACTTACGCAACGGAATGCGCAGTTGAAGCATATGACTGTTTTATGGAAGCTTCCTACTTCTCAGTGGCCAAAAAGGTTTAAATTGAGAATCAATGAAATAGGAGTGTTCACGATCCAGTGTGTTCATAGGAGGGATAGTAAATGCTGGAACTGTTCATCATGTAGCCCCTGAGAGTCAAAACTCCACCTGCGCTACGGAACAGTCAATGACTATAAATCTTTCATTTATGAGCCATTGGATCACCCATGCTACAAAAACTCGAAACCCCATCTCAACTTGACAGCTTTCCACTAGCTACTCCTCCCTATCGTCTCCCTTAGCATTTGCCTATGATCACTGACCAATGCGAACCGCTTTTCCGCTGTGATCCGTTCCACCAACACTTCACCTGCCATAAAACTTACGTTAGGCTTTGTTCGTGCTAAGCCTTCCCCTTTAGCCCTCCCCCTTAAACCAGGATCTTAGTTCAGATGATGATATTACGTGAGTTGATTTTGGTTTTTATTTTATCCGGTAATGTTTAGTATCTCAATTTTCATATATAATCTTTTTGTATTGTGAGACAATACCTGAGCTCTTTCTTCACTTTAGCCAACGTGTAATGATGATGCCAAGCTTAATGGATGCCACGGTGCTCATATGGTCAGTGGAATCCTACTGTTCAACCGGCATGAACAGCACTTGCTTTGCTTTCTGTCCACGTGGCTGGCGGATGTCAGCCGCCATTACACGCCGTGGCGTCATTCACGGTTCGTGAGCGCGCGTGCCCTGTGTCCGAGCCAATCTGCCTCACTATTGCCTGTGAGCATGCTGTCCTTCGCTTACGCGACACAAAGTGAATTCTGCGTGCCCTTCTTTTATCCAAGCCACCAGCTACTCGCACACTGTGATGTGTCATTATTGGTTACTGGTTGGAAGCAGCAAGTAGAGTTTGCTCTGTGTAGCTGCATCTAATGTCACTCAGGGACAAAGGCCCGTTATGTTGTGTTGCGCTCGATACATTTTATGTCGACAGTGTTTGTCCAGGAATTTCTTAAATTCCGACACCGGCTTTGCTTCCACTATGTGCCACAGCAGGTCCCTCCATACATTCACCACTCTGCGTTCGAAACAGAGTTGGTGAGCCAGCCGCTTCAAATCCGGTACGAACAGCTTGTACCGGTGTCCTCGTGTGCTGCTTGGTGTGCGCAGATGAAGCAGCGGACTCAACATGGGGTAATCTCCCAGACGTAATATCCGGTGCGTCATGTCTAGGTCGACCCGCATTCGACGATAAGCTAGGGTGTAAAGCCCTAGTTTCTTACACCGGTCTTCGTACGGCACATCTCGTAAGCTGGGAATCAGTCTGGTGACTACCTGCTGCACTCGCTCAATCTTTTCTAACTCGCCCCGAGTGATAGGACAATACGCGGGAGAGCCATACTCTAGCATTGGTCGTATAATTGAGACGTAGAGACGTATGGCAATCTCGTCGGACCAAGTGCTGAAGCTGCGCCTGAGCGCCCAAAACATGCGAAGGCTGTTTTGGTAAAGCCTATTCGTGTTGTCCATGGACTAGGTCGTAGCGCGAGAGTGCACCGAGGTCTCGCACGAAAGGCGCGGAAGGCAACAGTTGACCGGCCACCGTGTACGTTTGACTGTGCTCACTGTTACCCAGGCTCATAAACTGCGACTTGGCCGGGTTGATCAAAAGGCTAAAGGCAGTCGAGGTTCTGCTAAAGCAGGTCACAATCACTGGGTGTGCGGATTACTCTCCACACTTTCATCTGCGAACAACGCACAAGGTGATTGGAGTAACTGAGGCACATCGTTTACATGGATCAGAAACAAAATAGGCCCCAGTATAGTGCATTGGGCACGTCACTGCTCGATGGATACCAGTTGATTAAATTGTTGTCCACGTGGACTCTTCACTTTCGATCAACAAGGAAATTCTTGCTCATCGATGCAACGAGACGGCAACACCGCACACCGTCAGTCGGTCGAGGAGCACTGCATGATTTACTTTGTAAAAAGCCTTACTGAAGTCAATGTAAATGACATCAACCGACTTGCCTTGGTTAAGCGCTTGTGATGCACGAGCTACCTTTCACGAAACCATGCTGTGCGAGCGTCAAGAGGCTTTTCAACTCGTGGAGTTGCAGAAGACTCTCCTTCACGATCTTCTCGAGCGTCTTTACCAAAACAGTGGTCAGGCAGATCGGAAGGTAGTTATCCACCTTGCTTGGGTTATCACCTTTCGGTATTGGCTTTACGACTGAGCATTTCCAGTCATCCGGTGATAGTCCAGTGAATAGTGACGTGTTGAACAGCTCAGTTACAGAAGGCGAGATGATGGCCGATAGGGAGTTGAGAATCAGTGGGTGAATTTCATCTGGGCCGGCAGACTTCGTCCCGTCAAGACTTGCTAGAAGCTTGTGTACATCTTCAGTGCTGAGGTCCAGGCTGTCCAGTTCAGAGGGAGCGGTTCTCGATGAATTCATTAGACACCTGGTCAGTTGCAAATACGGAGGCGAAGTGCGCCGCCAATGCGGACGCAAGATCTGTGCTCGAGGTTAGGGGCTGTCCAGCTGAGCCTTCTAAAACTGGAACATTGCCAGCAGGCCTCAGGCACCGCTTCACGTAGGTTAAGATCCTCTTGGGAGCAGTTTTTTTGGGATGGTTGTAAGCTGCTCTTGGAAGTATCTGCGCTTTCTTGTTATCGCGTTGTTGAAGAGATTTCGCTGTACCTTTTACGCCTTGTAGTCCTCATCAAAACCAGGCAACACCAATTTGTTCCATAGTCTGCGTCATCGACGGGCCAGTTTGCTGTACTCCTTGTCGGACCAATGTGGTTCGACTGACCCAACTTTCCGATACTTGAGGGGTACAAATCGGGCGTACAATATCACCCTCTCTTTAGTGATAGTCCAACAGGTTTCAATAGACGAATCCTCTGGTAAAAACCAGTCCATCTGGCTCGCTGCTCTAGTGAGGCCATTAAAGTCTGCCTTCCAATAGTTGAAGGCTGGCTCCAGCGGGGGAGAATACGGCAGCGGCAGTTCCAATCTGGCTATGATCATCGAGTGCTCACTCGCTGAAGGGCCCCAAGGCTTGAATGTCGTGTACACGTTGCTCACAGCTGGTCAACAGCAGGTCTAAGCACGATGGAGTCGCGCGCGCAGTTATGCGCGTCGGTTGATTGATATGCTGTGGGCCCCCATTTCAAATAGCAACTCCGTAAACTTCCTCTCGACTTCACAATGGCCGGGGAGAAGTTCAGCCTCAGACCACTGTATTCGGGGTAAGTTGAAATCACCCATGAGTAACAAAAGCTGACGACTCATGTGGTTGCGGACATGCGGCAACCAGTCCAACAGCGGCTCAGTGGACTGCGATATATCACGCCTACGAGCATCTCGCAACGTCTGAGGTGAATCGAACACAATAATTGCTCACATAGACCATCAGCGCTTCGGTAAGCGCTCACTAGTCTCTCACACAAGGAAGACTTTATGTAAAGCAGAACACCATCGCGATCATTTGATGGTCTATCACAGCGGAAACATGAGTAACCGCTGATGTACACTTCTTGGGCGGTTACGTCGGAGTTTAACCATGTTTTAGCAAGGCCTAATACGTCTGGCAGCTGAGAGGTTAGAAAGTAGTACAGCTCATCGCGTTCGTTCACCAGACTGCAGACGTTAGTAAAGGTTACGCGCAGGCCGCGGTAGGAACCGCTGGGCGCGCCTGAAGCCTCAGAAACCTGTTGATCCGGATTCGCGAAGGAATCCGGGTGTCTACCTGAAAATTTACAACACGGAGATTTGTTTCTCCATCGTCCGTGCGTCGCTTTAGTTCAATCATCCATCAAATGAACAAGCCGGGAGACGGTTCAACAGGCGCAAGCAAGGATCTGTAGTTACCAACAAACTAAAAGAATGCCAGTTAAATTTAGGTAAACATTACAACGAGTAAACTGATGAATGGCGTTCAGCCAAAAGGCCGTTCGTGAAAACCCCTCTTATGTGGGATCTCACAAGATCTGCAAATTTTGATTGGTAGCAAAACGACTCGAATGGATTGAAAAAATGTTTCAAAATCAATGTACGTAGCTGGATCGAGGAAGCAGAGGAGCGCTAAATAATTTTAGTAATCAGTTTCTTACTAGAAGAACCGCCCATTGAGGA